AGGATGTGAGAGTTGGGAGGGACCTTAGAACACAGGATGTGAGAGTTTGGAGGGCCTTAGAACACAGGATGCGAGAGTTGGGAGGGCTCTTAGAACACAGGATGTGAGAGCTGGGAGGGACCTTAGAACACAGAATGTCAGATCTGAGAGGGGCCTAAGACCATCTAGTTCACCCCATTTATTTTATAGATGAGGGAACCCAGGGAATGGAGGTGATTTGCTCAAGGTCGCATGGCAGTAAGCAGCAAAATTTGAACCCAAGTCTTGTGACTCCAAATCTAGCACCCTTTCCACCATTAGCAGACTTGCTCCTAGTGTTAGGGACCGGGTGCCAGCTGATGCAGGGTCCCTGGCTCCTGTGCCTACAGGATGGCTGGAGGGAATCCGCTTGGCAGACGGCGAGCGGGGCTGGGTGCCCCAGGCCTACGTGGATGAGATCACCAGCCGCAGTGCCCGTCTTCGAAACATCTGGGAGACCAGAAGGATCGAGAGTGCCACCAATAAACTACAGGAGACAGCTGCATGATAGACCAGGGAGCGGCCTCTGACTCTGGCCTGAGGTGCCCCACAACCCTCCATCTCGCCCCCACTGGTCTCTGTGCCCTCAACAGTGCCCTCTGCAGCCTCTACTGGAGTCTCTGAGACAGGGTACCCACCCTGGCACGGAGGAGCCCGCCCCGCTAGGCCATATGACGGGGCAGATGACTTGTGGGTCAATGTCCCCTAGCTTCGTAGGCCTTAACTTCCTCCAGGATGCCTGGGGTGGAGGGAGCAATGATAACTCTGTCAGCCTCTCCTGGGGTCGGGGAGGGGAGGCTGGAGGCTGGAGCCTGGAGCCTGGATGGTAGATCCCTGGGGTTCCCCGGTCCTTATTTTGCTCCCTTGGGGCAAACTACCCTAGTGACTGACTTGGGGAAAGATGTGGCTGAAACCTGCTGGACTCCTCTTCCTGGACAACCCAGTAAGAGCTGGGCATTCTGTATCATTAAATGACCTGCCTTTGTTTACTTGGAGTTCAAAGGTGTAGCTGCCTGCCCTGATGGAGGAAAGAGAGCGCTTGCTGATAACTTGGAAACTGTAGTAAGAATAGCTCAGGCTCAGGAGCGTAGGGGGCCTTTCCTGGGAAAAGCCCCCTTTCTGGAACTCTGTTGACTGGTGGAATGAGGTCAGGGTGTGTGACAAAGCACTATAGCATTATAGCACATCAGACATGGAAGGGACCTTATAACACAAGTTATTAAAACCTGGGCCATTAGAGCTGAATGTTAGAGCATGAGAGACAGTAGAGCACTGAATGTCAGATCAGAACGAGATATTAGAGCATTGAATGTCATATCAGGATGAGACATTGGAGTATTGAATGTCAGATCAGAACAAGACATTAGAGCATTGAATGTCAGATCA